GTTAGACCTTAATAGTTTGAGACCGATCACTCTTACCTCATGTACAGGAAAACTGATGGAGCATGTAATTCTCAATCGTCCGAATCGCTACATCGAACAAGAAAAACTGTTTCCCTCCACCATTTACGGCTTCCGAGCGGGACTCTCCACTCAGGATGTAATGCTGCAGCTTAAGGAGGACGTGCTAAATCTTACTTTTAAGCACATCATCAGAGCCATCCTTGCATTGGACCTGACTAAGGCTTTTGATAATGTTCTTCACTCATTGATTTTACAATCTCTTAGTGAACTAAACGTAGGCTCTCGCACGCACAGGTATGTCTCTGCCTTTCTCAGCAATAGGTCCGTCTGCCTACAGTTGGGCGCTTTCAAAACCGATTCTTCATGCTAGATAGCAAGGGAACGCCCCAGGGATTGGTTTTGTCCCCGTTCCTTTTTAACATTACTCTCATACCGCTAGCGCGGGAACCTGCCAAACTTTCCTCCATCAATCACTCCTTGTACGCGGATGACACCACCATCTGTGTCCATACTGGCAACCATGGCGAAATCGAATCGAAGCTTCAGTTGGCCGCTGACATTGTTGTTAAACACGCCAACAATATTGGGCTCACCTGCTCGGCGGCTAAATCGGAACTCCTAGTAATTGACTTTAAAAAGCAAGATACATGTCACATCTAAGTCATCCTTGATGACACCCCTATTCGTAGGGTCAATAAAATCAATATTTTAGGCCTTAATATTTCCGACAATGGTTCAAACGCTGACACCATAAAGTTAATCCGCACCTCGGTTCAAAATACAGCTTCTCTCATTAAGCGCATATCCAATCGTCATCGCGGCATGAGGGAAGCAGACATACGCCGCCTCATACAGGCCTTTTGCCTATGCAGAATTACCTATTCTATTTCCTACCTCTATCTCTCACTTACGGAGATCGAGCAACTTAAAACCTCATTAGTAATGCCTATAAAACTGCGCTCCATCTCCCTAAATCAACAGCCACGGAATAAACTACTTCATCTTCGGGTGCACAACACTCTGGCAGAGCTTGTAGAGGCGCATCTTTTCAGCCAATATCAAAGACTATCACTCACAGAAACAGGGCAGGTACTCCTGCGCCGACTTGGAATCAACGTGCCTGGTCACACCACGGCCACGCACGCAGTTCCCATCACTGTTAGCAGCAACCTATTAATCCCGCCACTCCCCAAAAATACTCACCCAGAACATAATCGGGCGCGACGGGAAGCTCGAGCCAAGTCCCTTCAGAAGCGCTTCCCTCCTAATTCTCCCGCAGTCCATGTAGACACGGCCGAATATGTAGATCATCGAGCTTTCGCGGTAGCCGTCGTAGATGGATTTCAAAAACTGGTCGCTGGTGCATCCCTTCCAAATTCGACAGAACCCCTGGAAGGAGAGGAGGCGACAATTGCTTTAGCCATTGTTCACTCCTCCGCTGAGTATATTTTTTCCGATTCAAAAACTGCAATTCGTAATTTCGCCACTTTCCGGCTTCATTCCAGGGCTGCTAAAATTTTGAATCATCTCCTCCGCCTGATCGCCTCATCACCCTCCTCTGGGTCCCTGCGCACTGTGGACACCCAGGCAACACGGCCGCTCACACCCAAGCCCGACCACTCGCAAACCGGGCTCACAGCGACCTGCCTTCGCTTCGAGGTGCCAGGGATCGACTCCTCAGCTATCACGATATCACGCTATTTTACCAAAATTCTCGCCTAATGTATCCCCCGCCACATAAATCTCTCTCCAGAAGTGACCAGGCTTTGTGGCGCAGACTTCAAACGGCAACAGTGACGACTCCTTTTCTTCTCTCCCTTTTGACACATGGCGAAACCTCGCCTCATTGCAACTTATGTCCTAGCACGAGAGCCGACTTCCAGCACATATTTCTGAATTGTCCAAACAAACCCAAGCCTCCGTGGCAAGAGTCAGAACACCAGGAGCGATGGGAGGCTGCTCTGCGCAGCTCGCAACCGGGTTTACAGCTCCAGACAGTGAGCTGGGCCAGAAGGGTCGCCGAAGCACAGCAGTGTCCGGCCACCTAGAGCGGCCCGAGGGCTCGTCGTCATCCTAATTCCACTTCCCCTACCACCCTCCCCCTCAAATGATTCCTTCGTGAATCAATAAAGTTGATTACCTACCTACCTACGTAATACCAAATTTGGCATATGTGAAGCTAGCGGATCGACCGTGAGCGCATCGTCAGTGTGTCTTATAGTCATGTTGTTAAGTGACACGTATGTCGTGATTATCATGTTTGGAGGTGTCATTTACCTATGTCGCCCGTTCGCATCGCGTAATCCCGAGTTCGGTACTTGTGAAGCTAGCTAAACGACCGCCAGCGCATCATGAGCTTGGCATGTAGTCATGTTTTACATGACACGCATCTCATGATTATTATGTTGGCACCAGTCACATACTTTCATCACATTCACGTCCTGTAATACCAAACTTTGTATATGTGACAGTAGCGAAATGGCCGCGAGCGCATCATGAGCATGGGATGTAGTCATGTTGTCACACGACACGCATGCCATGATTTTCATGTTAGGTTCTGTCACTTGTGTTTGCTATGCAATAATGCTATACCATACCAGTTTTGCAACATGCCATGTGAATGAAACCAACGCAAAATTTGCAGGACCATTAAATGTAATTCATAACATTCATGACATACATATCAATATTTTCATGTAACGACAAATCAAATATGTTCCAAATAGTCATTTTATGCCATATCAAGTTTGGTATTCGTACCATTATCCAAACGGCCTGCAGAGCTAAATCTCGTAGGCGGATAGATAGATAGATAGATAGAGATAGAGAGAGAGATAGAGAGATAGATATAGATATAGAGAAATATAGAGATAGATATAGATAGAGAGATATAGAGATAGATATAGATATAGAGAGAGAGATGTATAGACATAGAGAGAGATAGAGATGTATAGACATAGAGAGAGATAGAAGGAGAGATAGAGATGGAGAGATAGAGATGGAGAGATAGAGATGGAGAGATAGAGATGGAGAGATAGAGATATAGATATAGATAGATAGATAGATCACACGAAGAAATACCCCCATGGCATTACGAATCTCGTAAGTGACTTGGAAAATGCGTATCAGTTGAATCACGTCGAAAGCTCTTTATTTTGCATAATTTTCAATTGCGCGTTTGCAATGCACATAAGCCGTTACTTTCCAGCAGGTAGCAACCATGCTTTCGCGCCACGGAAGCCTTCAATATTTCCAAACGGAAACCCCCATTCTAACGAGTTGTCGCTGAAGATAGCGCGTCGGCTCTTCCGATTCACCGGCCTGCAATTCAGCAACTGAAATTCGCACCTGATTTTGTTCTATTCGAGCGAAAGTGCCAAGATTTCCGAAAATAATTGCACTGGTGAGTCAGCTTATCATTGGTTAGCTGCCAGCCCGTAATTAAGATCATGTGACGCCAAAAGACAAAAGCAATATTTCAGACAGATTACGGCACAATTGAAAAGAAATGCGCTTGGCAGTACGTAGCATTAATGTTGCGGAAGAGTAACCTTGAGCCACACAATGCGAATTTAAAGACAACCCTGAGATGGGTTGAATAGTTGATTAATGTTTTTATCCAATTACAGGGGCGTCAGTCATGTTTATTCACCTTCGATTACACACACACAAAAAAGTTGGCACCGTATCTGCATGTTAGTCTGCAAATTTCGTCGAAAGACGATAGTCTGGTGTGTGGAGAGAGTGAACAAAATGTTTATTTGATGTTCCTGCTCGAGAAAATCAGTAAATTGCATTCTGAAAGCACTCCGCTAGAGTCTCTATCCGTTCGACCAAGGCGAACTATCGCATCGAGGCACGTTAGACACGAGCGCTATCAGGCAGTTATCTTAGAAAACAAGGCGCGCAGCTATGAGATAGGAGGTGATAAGGTGTAGAATGCAAAGCGAAGGGTAGGTGCCACAACCGTCTCGTCTTAGCAAAGCGTTGGAAACACTCGCCCTTTCGTGCAAGCGTTGCATGGGCAGCGCCACTTTACAAACGCTACGGTCCTTAGAAATACTTACGTATGCCTTTTTAGTAAAAGACGCACATGCAGAATATATACTATGGGGCCTCAGATATGCGCAAAAAATTGCTTTTTAATTGACAATCGCACAAGTATGAATGCAGAGGCTTGAGCAACATTGGTGGGCACTGCGGATAGCGTCGGTCATTTGGGGTATCAACTGGTGCCGTTTACAGTACACAAAACCATTAAGGATAGACAAACAGACATTCGTCAAAAACATTCGTACAGACGAATGTACAGACAGACAGACCACAATTTTGCGTCGAAGTTCCCCAAGAAAGACTATCGTCTTTAAAATGCATATAATGCCTTACCAACTTTTGTTGTTCTGTCGAAGGACCACGATCGGGCCAACAAGGTTGACTTCGTGCTCCTTACGCGGGATGAGTCAGCTAACGCGAAAGTTTGCCCTGCGTGTTCTGATCCGAAACGATGTTCATTCATCATAATGCGTCACATATACCTCTGCGGGTATCAGCAATGTGACGAAATATACCCTGGTGGGTCCTTACTTACTTCATGGGGATTGCGATCACGTAGTAGATATTTCAGCATCACAACTTCTGTTAGCAGGCGCCAGAGTTCGACCTTTCGCTGTGCCCGTGCTACGACTTTCGCGAAGGCCTGGCAAAGATTTTAAAGGGCTGTAGTGAGCGCTAGGGGTTAACGAGACTGTTTTGTTGTTGTGTATGCGCATTACTTTTTCCTCCTCTTCTCTGTACCAGAGAGGCCAGTAGTGAATAATGTGGCAGTAAGACTATAAAGCATGTGAACTATTACCCAGGATATCACATTTGAAACAAAGTGACCGTCAGCTTAGTATCGTGTTTAACACCTTGTTATCAACTATTGAAATAGAATGCGCGACTATCAGTGACAGTTTCGTTTTGATTATGCGCTTTCGCAGAAAAACATGACGGTAGAAGAACTCAGCATAAATATCACGAGTCAGCCGGATGTCCGAGACCTTTTGTCAATCATCAAGAGATACAAGCTCTCCTCCCGTGTGATAATCGGATGGAAGAATCCGGATGGTATGGACTTTCGTGAGGGACACGATCTATGCAAGATATCCTCGGCTTCCTTCAATCTTGATTATCGCTACCCTTGCGACAGCACGCTGCTACTGGACACTCTCGTAATCGACCGGAAAATCAACGCCCTTACCCTGACGTGCACAGCTGGAACGACCAACTTTGTGGTCAAGTAGGATGATCGACACTCTTGGCCGGATCAAGTACCTCAGGTACGTACACCCTATCAATTCTATTGCGGTAAAGCTTTTGCCGAAAAGATTGTGTTATTAGAAGATGCAAGTGTTCAATCGGTGTGCCCACCGTTGAGCTCGACTGTTCAAGTTGTAAAACTGTATTGCTGGGGAGCGCTTATATGACACGTCCTCTATTAGGTGTTTTTGGCATGGCAGTGCAAAAAACTTTGTGGACGTCTGTGATTGCGTTTACACTTCGAGTAGCAGCCTCCTTGTAGCCAATAGCAAAGCGCCACCCATGTGGTACGCAGCACCAGAGCACTGCTGTGCTGACGGACTACCGGCGAAAACGAAGCGTCGACTTATTTTTTTTCTCTGTTTCTCACGTTCCATCAAATTTATGACGACACTCCTGTAATAGTCGCACAGGCCGAAAAATTGACGCACGGACTTTTTCTCGGAGGGTGGCGCGATGCAGCGATGTTGGTTGTCTTCTGCGGATGAGGTCTTACTTCGAACAAGCTTATCACGTGGCCCAAGAAGCAAAGTTTCTCGTGCGCGACGTGGTCTTTTCTGGCTTCAGCGTGAGTCAGGAAGTCCTATTTGCTTGAATTACAGCGTCAAGGCCTCCGGAGATTCCCGTCGAAGCTTGAGAAACACACCACGTCCTCAGCCCTCTTCACTAGACCATGCTTGAACATAACTTAACACACCACACGACTACGCAAACAGAAGAGATGGGAGAAACTTCCATGCTGTTAAAATATGTTCAAGTACTATCACCAACTGGCTCAGCTTTCAGTCCTTCTATACCAGGCAAGTCTGTCTCTTCAACCAAGCCAGCACGGGGTCCATAACGTGCTGAATCCTAAAAGGCGCCAAAAACGAGCGAAGGGCATGACTTTGAACTCAGAGGTCGTCTAGTGTAATGAAGGCAGTCTTTGTTTTGTCTCGCTCGTCTACAATTGTGCAGTGGCCTGTCTGGAGGTATATCGATGAAAATTATTTCGTGTTGTGGAATCGATCAAGGGCGTCATCTATTTCGAAGAGAGTGTGTACGTACTTCTTCATGATCTTGTTGAGACACCGATGGTCAATGCAAAAGCGAACTGTTCCATCCTTGTTCTTTACTAACACCACCAGTGACGCTCGTGGACTCTTTGAAGGTTGAACAATATCGTCGCGTAGCATTTTCCCGACAAGTTTTTTTTGTGGCCTTGCGTTCTCGTGTCGAAACTCTGTACGGGCTCTGGCGGAGTGCCTTAGAAGTCTTCTATAACGATTCAATTCTTCACGGCAGGGGTCTGTCAAATTCTTGACGATGACCAAAAGAAGCTCTTATTTTTCAAGAGCAGCTTCCCGACTGTTCTCGTTTATGTGTCGAAAGGCTTGGATTAACGTTGAAAGCTGGTTGAAGGGTTTGAGTCGTCGGAATAGATTCGGTAGAATCAAGTGTGACTGAAAGCGTTGTTGGCTTCCACTATTTCCTCGTCGTTGGCAACTGTTGTGTCTTTGCCGACGAGAAATACTGGGATCGTTACCAAAGACCTCCACCAGATGTCAAGTGTTCGTGATGTGGACGAAGGGAGCAGACTCTATGTTCAGATGAAACTGTTTAATAGGCTGAACTTTGGACACAAAGCTGAAGGCAAGATTACAGCCACACATAGGCACTGATAGCGACGATTAGTTAGCCGGTGATCAACTAGGAAGTGGCTCAGAACGGTAGCATTTATACATCTGTCATGAAATACTCCAGTCTTATAATTGGTCTTCGCGGTAGCTCTGCAACTATCTCGAGTGGTCACGTCTAGCAGGTAATCTTAACAGAACGGTCTACAAGGATTGCGAACGTTCTCATGCAATAATGTGCAACTTGCACTGCGAATTCTTGTCCAGGCTTTAGAGGCGAAAACCAAATCAGCCAAAATTGAAAATGACATACGCGCGTTCGTGGCAATAATATATATATATATAAGAAATAGGTGTATACCTAAGGGCTCGTTGTTCCGTGTTTTTACACAATATCAATGAGATCTAACAGACAATAATGCCAAAAAAAGTATAGGGGAAGATATTAGACCGAATTGTAATGTAAATGTGAAGAAAAGTGGGTGAAAAGATAACTTGCCGTGGGCAGAATCCCAACCTGCGACCTTCGAATGACGCGTTCGATGCTCTACCACTGAGCTACCACGACAGCTATCCCCCCAGCCACCTTATAGGGTTTATATGTGAATTAAACGTGGGAGTGTCCATCAGCGCAACAGTAGCCATGGCGGCGAGTGTGGCAGACTTTTTGGAGCCTGTTTGGCGACACGTAGTACGTGAACTTGTTACGAGTGGGCAGCTGACCAATAGTCCCTCGTATACAACCTAAGGCATCAAGCCTGCCAGTACGAGACCCTCGTTAATGAATAAGGGAAAGAAGTGTATACGTAAGGGCTCGTTTTCCCGTGTTTTTACACATTATCAACCGGATCTAACAGACAATAATGCCAAGGAAAATATATAACGTATTAGAACAAAGTGTAAAGTAAGTGTTAAGAAAGAAATGTTAAAGAAATATATATAATAAAATAGAGGTGTTGTACGTCGAGAAAGGTTCAGACGCAGCTTGGCAAAATGTGCTTTATCAGGCAGGTCTGGCTAATGGCGAGCGGCGTGCGCGAGCTACTACTATAGCTACCGATCATCGTCTTCTTCATTACCATCAGAGCGTCTATTATTTAGATTCATGACAATTACTCCCCGCGAAATAAGGAGCCATCCTGGCGACCTATGGACAAGTAAACAACGGGAGGGTCGTAGCAGGGCTTAAGTCTCGAGACGTGCACGATTTCCTGGCCACGACGACGTTGATCAGAAGATGGTTCTAGTGGCTCAATGAGGTAATTCACTGGTGACGTTTTTTGTAGCACGCGATATGGGCCGCGATACTTCGAGACCAACTTGGTAGAAAGACCAGGTGTAGCAGAAGGGACATGCAGCCAGATGAGTGAACCTGGATCGTAGGAAGTGATGTTATTTGATGCGTCATGGTGGTGCTTTTGGCGTCCTTGGTCTTGGGTTGTGGATGATCTTGCCAGTTGGCGGCATTCTTCAGCGTATGTAGCGGCTTGAGACAAAGTCGTGGACTCTGAGGAGTCAGGTTTGTACGAAAGAATGGTGTCCATAGTGCAAGAAGCTTCGCGTCTGTAAAGGAGGAAAAAAGGAGAGAACCCAGTAGTGCTTTGAATGGCGGTATTATAGGCGAACGTGATAAACGGGAGCACTCGGTCCCAATTGGAGTGGTCTGACGAGATATACATAGACAGCATGTCACCAAGGGTGCGGTTGAAGCGCTCTGTCATTCCATTGTTCTGGAGATGATAGGCGCTTGTAGTGCGGTGAACGACGTGGCACTCACGCAGCAATGCTGTGATGAAGTCTGACAAGAATACGCGACCACAATCGCTCAGTAACTCCGGAGGTGCTCCATGACATAACACGATGTTGTGAAGAACGAAAGTCGCAGCGTCTTTTGCTGTAGACGAGGGAAGGGATGAAGTTTCGGCATACCGCGTGAGATGGTCGACGGCAACTATGATCCAGCGGTTACCGTCAGCAGTGTTGGGAAGGGGACCATAGATATCAATGCAGACGTGGTAGAATGGTCAGGATGGGCGTGGTAAGGGTAGCAAGGTACCGCTGGCATGATAAGGTGGAGTTTTTTGTCTCTGGCACGTCGAGCAGGCTCGAACGTATTGTCGTAGAAAACGGTACATGCTACGCGAGTAATATCGGAGACGTATGCGAGAATAAGTGTTCAGGAAACCTGCGTGGCCACATTGGGGGTCGTCGTGAAATATGGAAGAAATTTCGGATCGCAGATGACGTGAAATCACGAGTAGCCACTGACGTCCACCGGGTGCGTAGTTGCGTCGGTACAGCATGTCGTCGCGAGTGGCGAAGTGCTCGACTTGCCGACGCAACGTGCGAGAAGGGGGGGGGGAGCCGTCCGCCCAGCCAGGATGTCTAGAATCGAAGCAACCCAAGGGTCCTTGCGTTGCTCAGATGGCATGTGGGCGATGGTGACAGCAGTGGCATCACAGGTTGGACTTTCGCAGCAGTCCGGGTCAGGGGGTAGGGGCGAACGGGATAGGGCGTCTGCGTCCAAATGTTTCCGGCCGGAGTGATAGACCACGCGAATATTATATTCTTGGAGGCGTAATGCCCATCCGGCAAGGCGACCGCTTGGATCCTTCAGTGACGACAACCAGCAGAGGGCGTGGTGGTCAGTCACGACGTCAAAAGGTCACCCGTACACGTAAGGTCGAAATTTCTCTGTCGCCCAAATAATGGCGAGGCATTCGTTTTCAGTGACGGAATAGATGATTTCGGCTTTGCTAAGAGTTCGGCTTGTATAGGCAACCACGTACTCTTGGAAGCCGTCTTTCTTCTGTGCAAGAATAGCGCCTAGCCTGACACCACTAGCGTCAGTGTGTCGGTGCCGATGGGTCGTAGTGTCACAGAATAGGCGGCGACGTGAGGAGGCGGCGCAGTTCATTGAAAGAATCGTCAAAGGTGGCAGACCAGGCTGAAAGGTCTCAAGAGCCGGCGAGGAGCTTGGTCAAAGGAGCGATGATCGACGCGAAATTGTGGACGAAGTGCCGGAAGTAAGAGCAAAGGCCTATGAAGCTTCGGAGTTCTTTCATGGTGGTCGGTTTGGGAAACGCTGAAACGGCTGTACGTTTGGCAGGGTCAGGAAGAATGCCGTCTTTTGAAACCACGTGGCCAAGGATCGTAAGCTTTCGAGCGGCGAAATGGCACTTCTGATTCAGTTTCAGATGCAGATACATGCGAGGACTTTCTCGAGGCGGATTAAATGTGTTACGAAATCAGTTGAAAAGACATTGTCATCTAAATAACAAAGGCAAACGTTCCAATTGAGGCCTCGAAGGATAGAGTCCATCATACGCTGAAAAGTAGCTGGCGCGTTGCATAGGCCGAAGGGCATGACTGTGAATTCGTAAATCCCGTCGGGCGTGATGAAA